GTCTCATTATGTCTTCATGACTCATTATGTCTTCATGTCTCATTATGCCTTCATGACTCTTTATGTCTTCGTGTCTCACTATTTCTTCATGACTCATTTTGTCTTCATTTATCTTTATGTCTTCATGACTCTTCATCACTTCTTGTCTCATTATGTCTTCATGTCTCTTTATGAGGGTGATGGGAGTCAAACTGCAAATACTGGTCTGTGTGGGTGGGTTTGTGGTACACCTCAGTTTGCAAATGTCCTCTATCAGAGACTGAGACCTCACAGTCCAAGAAAGCCAACCTGCCATTTTTTACATCTTCTCGTGTGAACTTGATGTATTTATCCACAGAGTTGATGTGGTCAGTAAAATGTTGGACTTCCTGAGATTTGATTTTAACCCAGGTGTCGTCAACATACCTGAACCAATGACTTGGTGGTGTCCCTGAAAAGGACATCAAGGCTCTCTTTTCTACCTCCTCCATGTACAGGTTGGCAACAATAGGAGAAACTGGAGACCCCATAGCACACCCATGTTTCTGCCTATAATATTGCTCCCCATATGTGGAGTAGGTTGACTGCAGGCACAGTTTCAAGAGTTGACACAGTTGTTCTGTGGAAAGTGTGGTCCTGCTGCTCAGAGTGGTGTCTGATTTTAATCTTAAACTGACCACCTCTACTGCATCATCAACAGGAATGCACGTAAAGAGTGATGTGACATCAAAAGAGACCATTGTTTCATCAGTCTCCATGATGACATCCCTCACCTTATCCACAAAGTCCTGATGGTCCTTCTTGAGCATGTGATCAGCTGGTTTTGGTTGTTTTTTGAATGTCCAGAAGACCAGACTTAACTATTTTACACTTTGGTAACAGTTTCTGTTTTAGATGTGCTCAATAAATAAAGTTGACTTATTCAACACATTTCAGCTGTTGTCCTGCCCTCAGCATTTCAACTGCTTTTTTTACTTCAGAAAACCGCTACGTTAGTTTAACAAGTGTTGGGCCTGTTACCTTTTTTGTATAGTCATTAAAAATCCTTTTGCTTTGAATTGGCACCGTGAGAATAGATTGATTTATACTGCACATCTCATGTCAGTTAGGTGTGCAGCTGACTATTTGACGAGACCTCAGTTTTTCTTTGTTCTCCAGTGCATTCACATCCTTCCAGGAGTCGGTAATTCAGTAACAGTATGAGAAAAGATCCATTTTCCCAGAAGCCTTCAGATTTTTCTCCTCCACGTCTGACGCTGCCAACTTCTCTTTGGAACAGAGTTTAAAGCTGCTCATCTCAATCCTCCCTGAAAACTTTTCATATTTGAGAAGGATTGGATGTTGGCAAAGCCTCGAGCACAGAGTCAAACCGTGGGTTCTGTTGGGGGATAATGAAGTGGACCAGAACACCGCTGTCCTGCGTTCAGTCAGAGGGATCAGACTCCTGCAAAGTCATCACTGCTGAACTGAAGAGTTGGTGTAGCTCTGTCCAAGTCCTTCACAAGGCATCAAACAGAACCATGTCCAAGTAATGAAGGTCTTCTTGGAAGTTCTGAAACAAATAAATGATAGTTGTTGGGTGCGTCACGACTTTCCACAGCAGGAGTCGACTGAAGTCTCCAAACAGCAGGTTTCTACGAGCTCTTTGTGACACCTTTTACACTGAAAAGCAAAAAAGTTTTAAAGTTCAGGAAGAAAACTGGTGTAACGTTTTGAACTAACTTTATTTGACTAGACTGTAACCAACATTCTGTAGTTAAAATGACCCAAGTATAAAAGATAAATCCCATGTGAATCAGTTAAATTTCTACCTGTGATGGAGCCTTGGACTTAGTTGAAAGTCAGGTAAATGGCTGGGGGAGTGATGGCGCAGCGGTTAGGGAAGGTGGGCCTGTGATCGGAAGGTTCAACGTCCAGACCACTCTCTCGTTCGCTCTCAACGAAGACGGTCGCTTTCACCTGCTCCTCCCTCCCTCCCGCTTCCTTTGCTCTCTTGTCCTTGACCCTCCTCAGAGCCTCTCTTTACACGTCTTCCAAATCAAAAACTATTATGGATCTGGTCAGCTGGTCTCTCAAAACAAACGATTCATTTTTTTCTACCAGGGACACACGCAGCTGGTTATGTCATGGATTCCTGGGGTGTTTGGAAGATGATGTGCCTGTCTGTTGAGGACGTAGTAATAACTGGATTTATGATAACAGGATTTCTGCTTCTTGGAATCGGCAGATATCTGGTTATCGGCTAATAAGGAAGACGTCTGCAGCCGTTTTGGCAGTAGTAAAGCTGCCAGCCTTATATTCAACCTTTATTTATACAGGTTAATCCCAATGAGCCTCGGAGACTCATTTACAAGAGAGACCTGATGTTTTATAGCAAAGAGTCATGACAGCAGTGGACAACAAAAACAACAAGTTTTAACGATTACAAGACTGAAGTCTTTAGCCCTAGAGGGGTGGAGGGTGTGCTCCAATTACAGGGGCATCACTCCTTAACCTCCCCAGTAAGGTCTATTTAGGAGTACTGCAGAAGAGAGTCTGGTCAATGGTCGAACCTCAGATTCATAAGAAACATAGTGGGTTCAGTTCTGACCATGGAACAATGGACCAGCTCTTTACACTCACTAGGGCTTTTGATGGACCATGGGAGTTTGTCCAACCAGTCTACCTGTGTTTTGTGGACTTTGAGAAAGCATGTGATCAAGTTTCTCAAGGTAAATCTTAGGGGGTGCTCTGTGAGCATAGTCAGTCTAACCATTGAGTCCCTTTACAAGCTGTTTGAGAGTTTGGTTCCCATTGCTGGCAGCAACCCCTTCTGGGTCAGAGTTGGACAGGGCTGCTTGTCAGAGATTCTGTTCCTAACTTTGATGGACACAGTTTCTCAGTGCAGCCAGGATGCAGAGGGAGACTGGTTTAGTGTCCTCAGCATTTCTTCTCTGTATTTGCTGATGATGTGGTCCTGTTGGCGTCATTGTGCTGTTATCTTTAGCCCTCACTGGAGTGGCTGAGTGTGAAGTGGCTGTGAATGAGGATCAGCACCTCCAAATCTGAGGCCACGGTCCTTAGTCAGAAAAGAGTGGAGTGTCCCCTCCTGGTTGGAAGTGAGTGTTTCTGCCTCAAGCGGAGGAGTTCCAATAGCTCCGGGTTTTGTTCACAAGTTCAAATAAATTATGTTGTTAAGTTTTTATGTATATGAATGTTTCTGTACAGTGCCCTGAGATGACTGCTGTTGTGACTTGGCATAATATAAATAAACTGAAATGAAGAATGGATTCCCTCACTTGAAGAATGAAATGCAGCTTCTGCAGTATTGTGGACTCTGTGCTGGCCCATTGTAGTGAGGAGGAAGCTGAGCATCAAGGAGAAGCTCTATGTTTTCTGCTCAGTCTATGTTCCTATCCTCATATTTTTCCCAAACTCTGGGTAGTGACCGAAAAAACACAACTGTCGATCCAAGCGTTCTAAATGTTTTCTCTTCAGGGTAGCTGGTCTTTCCCTTAGAGACAGAGTGGGAAGTTTTACTGTGCAGGAGAGACTTGAAGCAGAGCCATTGCTCCTACACATCCAGCGGAGCCAGTTGAGGTGGTTCACACATGGAGTGCGCTCTCAGGACATTATTACCTGCAGTGTTCCCTCAATGAGGACTGAACTAGGCAAAAGGACCTTCTCCTATTCCGCTCCTGTTTCCTGGAATATCTTACAAAAAGATTTGAAGCTCTCGACCTTGACCTCTCTAAGTGGCTTTAAGAATCTGTTGGACTCCTGGCAGGGTCCAATGCAGACATGTTCCTGTTTTTAGTTTTCTACATTTGTCTTGGAATCTAGCTGTTTTTTTTTTTTTTTTTGTTACCTTTTCCTTTTAGCCATCCTATGTGTTAAAAAAAACACAAAAAAACCCTGCAGTATGACTTTTTATAACTGTTTATTGTTGTTGCTGTTGTCCATTTTTGTCATCATTCTTTGTTGAAATCAGGTCTCTCTTGTAAATGAGTCCTTGAGGCTCAATGGGATTTACCTGTCTAAATAAAGGTTGATTGATCTGGTAAAGATGATCCTGGCATGTACAACTTGGAGGAGACACCGGGGAAGACCCAGGACATGCTGGAGAGACTATGTCTCTCAGCTGGCCTGGGAACACCTTGGAGTCTTCCCAGAAGAGCTGGAACAGATGTTTGTGGAAAGAGATGTCTGGACCTCCCTGCTCAAGACACTGGATGGATGGGTGGATGGGTGGATGGGTGGATGGATGGATGGGTGGATGGGTGGATGGGTGGATGGGTGGATGGGTGGGTGGGTGGGTGGATGGATGGATGGATGGATGGGTGGGTGAGTGGATGGGTGGATGGATGGGTGGTTGGATGGATGAATGGAAAGGTGGGTGAATGGATGGATGGATGGGTGGATGGGTGGGTGGATGGATGGGTGGATGATGGGTGAGTGGGTGGGTGGGTGGATGGATGGATGAATGGACGGATGGGTGGATGGATGGATTGGTGGGTGGATGGATGGATGGACAGATGGATGGATGGGTGGGTGGATGGATGGATGGGTGGTTGGATGGATGAATGGATAGGTGGGTGAATGGATGGATGGGTGGGTGGATGGATGGATGGGTGGTTGGATGGATAAATGGAAAGGTGGGTGAATGGATGGATGGATGGGTGGGTGGGTGGATGGACGGGTGGATGGATGGGTGGATGATGGATGGGTGGATGGATGGATGGGTGGGTGAATGGATGGATGGGTGGGTGGATGGATGGATGGATGGACAGATGGATGGGTGGGTGGATGGGTGGATGAAGTTAGACACTCATTCGTTGTGCCATGAAAATTCACATGGACCCATGTTCTTGATTTTTTAAATGTACTGGAGTCTCCTCACCTCATTGGTCAGATTTGCACATTAGTCTTCACTTATACCAACAACTTTTAATCAATGCAGTAAATTACGCCTTCATGTTAGAGAATCATCCAAACTGTGAGTTGTAATATAACAAATATATGCAAGCAGCATGAGTCACCATAAGGATTTCTGTTTCATTTTAAATTGCTATTATTTTAAAATATCTTCTCAGAACCTTCACAATGATGCACACTTTATTGAAATGGTCTGACAAGCTAGTTTTGTTTCGGGGGGGTGAGGGTTTGAAAGCCTGATCCTTTGGGTCTAGAATCACACATCTGAATTATCGCTGCAATAAATACTTTCACTTTTATGCGTTGCTAAAACAAGACCAATCACACATTCTGAGCTAATACCTGATTGGTCAAAGGTTTAAGGTGGGCCCATGGATTAAAAGCAAAAATGTTCATGTTCCTGTAAAAACAAAAATCCATATACGTCGTCTTCAAAAACATTCAAAGACGTGGAAATGGCTAATTCACGGAAAGAGGACACTAAAACCTTGAGCAGAGAGCGTATTTTAAAAGTATCAATGTTACCTTCTTGACAAATTGCATAGGCCAATGTGTTCAAACAAAAAACTGGAGATACTGGTGGAGGCACTCAGTCTTGCAGGGGGAGGGCCCCAAGAGGGTTCCTCGGGAGCTTCAGTTTCTTGTGACAGAATGAAATGTCCTGGCCAAAAGTAACTTTGCACTCGACACTTTTGAAAAACGAACAAATTTACGTGTTTGGATCCAGACCGTGGTCTGCCATTTGGGGATCCCTTTTTAGAGGGACAAATTGTTTATTTAATGATTTTTAAATATATATATTTTAAATGCTCCATTTATTATTGATTATCTAACCATCTCTTTTTTGGGGTTTGTTTCTCCCTTAGGGACCCGAATCAGCCAGTTCCACAGGATACAAAATTCATTCATACAAAGCCCAACCGATTTGAGGAGGTAGCCTGGATGAAGTACAACCCCAAAGACCAGCTGTACCTTCACATAGGTCTCAAACCTCGAGTCCGAGACCACTACCGAGCTACAAAGGTAGCTTTTTGGCTCGAACTGGTTCCACATATCCATGATATAAATGGATTCTTTCAGTATGTATCTACTACCACCAAGATCCCACCCCAGGACACCACCCCCTACCCTTACACCAAGCGCTTTCCTGGTAAAAACAACTGGCCGTCAACCACACGCCACCCAGGCATTCCGTCAGTTAACGTCAAACATACCACAGACCAGCGTAAGAGTGGTGACCTGACCAATGAGTCCACTGTGATCATTGAAACCAGGAGAGACTATTCCACCGAGCTAAGTGTCACCATTGCTGTCGGAGCCTCACTGCTCTTTCTCAACATCCTTGCATTTGCAGCACTATACTACAAAAAGGATAAACGGCGCCATGAATCCAACAGGCATGTTCCTAGTACCCCACAGCGCAGCTCCGCTCCTGCCAGCACTCCATCTGTGGCTAACGATGTAGCCCACCTCCAGAATGAAGAACTGTTGACCTTACAGATGAAGCAGAAGAAATTGGAACACGAGCAGCCACATGAGTGCGAGTCCTTACAGAGTCATGATGCATTGCGACTTGCTTGTCCTCCCGACTACACCCTGACCCTGCGCCGGTCACCTGATGACATCTCACTGATGACACCCAGCACCATCACCATAATCCCCAACTCGCTGACTGGTATGCAGCCACTGCACAACTTCAACCCTTTTGGTGGCGCCCAGAACAGTACCAACCTGCCCCATGGTCACTCCACTACACGGGTATAGTTGAGCTGGGTCAGGACAGTGCCAGATTCTTTCTGGTTTGACCCGCACAAGGCTAATACCTGTCACTGACTGGGAAAAGCACAGACTCCAAAGTCTAAGCAGATGTTATTTTATTACCACACCTTCTTGACGAGTATAAATAACTTTTTCAACAAATTCTGATTGAATGTTACTTTATGGAGATTTTGTGGAGCAGAGCTTCACTGAGAAGATTTTCCTTAAAGACAACCCAAGAATGACTGTTAATATTCTTATAATATATAGACACAGGCAGAGAAGCCTTCTTTGCCATGAAAGCAAATGGCTAACGTTTGTCAAAAAACAACAATGGGACCTTCCTGCATCAGAAAGCCAACATTGGCACAGACATCTCCACTCCAACCTGAAATGAGTTTATGATATTTTGCATTTAAAAAAAGTTATTTATAAAATAGTTTTGAGTGGAAACATTAAAAGAAAAGTTGAACGCAATAAGGACAGAAAACACAAAAAACTCCTATTGTTGTTTTGGCTGTGAATTATAGATTTCTTTAGTTAGTGATGTGTATATATATATATATATATATATATATATATATATATACACAGTATATATAAACAATGTTCTTTCTTAGATGCAACTTGTGTTTCAATAGTTTACTTTAAAAGAACTAAATGCTGATTTATACCCCATCATAAAGGAGTTGCACTCTGTGTGTTTAGGTCTTGAAGAAGATTTTCACCTAACCCTTCAGTTGTCTCATGATAAACACTGACCAAATCCAGCACCGTGCTGACTGGATCCAGTCTCATGATGACTAGATCCAGTGTCATATTGACTAAATCTAGTGATGTGTTGACTTGATCCTGGGTAATAATGATTGAGTCTAGTGTCATGTTGACTTCGTCCAGCATCATGTGGAAATTATATAACAATATGGTGATCAGATCCAGTGTCATGATGACTAGATCTCCCATCATGTTGAGTGGATCCAGCAATGTCTTGACCAAATCCAACAATATGTAATTTGATTCCAACATCATGCTGATTGGATACAGACAGTGTCATTATCCAGTGTCATGGTGATAAGATCTAATGTCATGTTGACTTGATCCACAGTAATGTTGATAAGATCTAGTCTAATGTTGACTTGATCCAGCATCATATGGAATTGATATAGCAATATTTTGATCAGATACAGTTTCATGATGACTAGATCTAGTGTCATGTTGACTTGATCCAACACAATGTGGAATTTATATAGCAATGTGTTGATCAGATCCTATGTCCAATGACCCAGATCCAATGACTACTAGATGTAGAGTCATATTGATTTGATCCAGTCTCATAATGACTAGATCTAGTATCATATTGACTAGATCCAGTGTCATGTTGACTAAATCTATTGTCATGTTTACTTGATCCAGCATCATGTGGAATTGATATAGCAATATTTTGATCAGATCCAGTGTCATGAAGACTATATTTTCCTTCATGGATCCAGCATCTTGTAGATTGGATCCTGCAATAATTTTGACTGAATCTGGCCCACTGTTGACTGGATCAGATCAGATCTGCTATCCTATTTACTGTATCTGGGATCATGTTGACTGGACCCAGCTTCATGCTGACTTGATCCAGCATCTTGTTTACTGATTCTGGCATCATGTTGACTAGATCTAGCATCATGTTGATTGATCCTGGCTTTATGTTTAGAGCCACTGTAATGTTGACTTGATCCAGAATCATGTTGACTGGATCCAACATCATGTTGACTGGATCTAGCATCATGTTGATTGAATCTGGTTTATGTTAAGATCCAATGCAATGTTGACTGGGTCCAGAATCATGTTGACTGATTCTGGTATGATGTTGACTGGATCCAAAGTCATGTTGACTGGATCTAGCATCATGTTTACTGGAACTAGCGTTATGTTG